TTATGAGTATTGTGTGATCAACTTTAAGTTACTAAATGTTAAATAGATTTGTTGCAGATAAGCTTTAAGCTTCACAGAATGGTATTTGAATGTATTATGTTGTATTAATAAAAAAAAAGAATTAAGTATTTGTGACAAGCAGTATTAATACAAGATAAAAAAAATTAAAATTGTAAAGTAGGTCAAAATGTAGAAAAGTGAAAAAAGACTACAAACCTTTCAGATTCATGTTGTATTGTAAAAGGTTAAAAGGGTCAATGGCCTATAACAAACTTTATCAATCCATAAAGTTGCACCATAGCAAATGATATCCATCAAACATCAAAGGCACGCTGGCTGTCATAAAAGGAGAATGTTCAATGTTACAAAGGCCACACACAATGATGGATCAGTCCTTTTTTAAAAGAAAACTGAGTTATGAAATTTTGGTCAATGCAAAACCTAGACTACTTTTCTCCCTGATTCTTATGAAAACTAGACAGCCAAAGAACAATAGTATACTTTATCTGGAAAAGTTTATCATGTTGCTCACTCCAAGCTAACTGCCAAATAGCATGAAGCTATGCCTTGATGACAGGTATGTCATCTACAGAAGGGTCAAGTAGATCTGTGACAATGCCAAAGCAGATGGATTTAGCTGCAATTGTCAAGTTCCTTCCCATGGGTACATAAATGGTCAAGAATCTATATAAACTAGGCATATAACAAAGAAATGGGCCAGTCATTTCTAAATATTCAAAAGAACTGGGTGAGAACTACCATTAAGTGATTTCAGGGCCAATCAAAGCACTAAAAGTCACTATAGATAGTATGCTTATTGAACTGCTCAACTTTTATATGATCCAAGGTAAATGAAATGACATGGAACTCAGAAACTGAAGAGGGGATTCTGTGAGTAACCACAGAGTCCAAGCAAATCATGACAGAGCCCACAGAGTCACCAATTTTGAAACATTCATAAAATCAGAAACAGAAGATTGGTTCAAAAGCTGCTGAGCAGAGAGAAGACAGTACTCCCAATCAGAAATATCCATCCTCCTAAGATGACAAAATGAACATCACAAGTGAGGATGGTAACAAGCCATGGTGGGATAGGCTAACCATGCCTGGATATGAACAAAAGATAGACCACCTATCTTTAAAAAGCAAGGTATGAAGACATAATGCCAGTTGGGAAGCTATGATAAGGATGGGAGTTTTGCAACATATTGCAAGGAAAGTTGAAAATGTTGGAGATGAAGTGGAAATTCACAGGACTCAGTTTACAAACTCAGGACCAGAGAAATGTGGAAAGCCCCCCATGAAGAGCCAAAGTGCCTGATGATGTACAGGGTCCAACATCTTCAAGGCAGAGTCCCTAGCTGAACCACAGCTCACAGATCTATAGTCCAGCTTTGATCAAATGAGGGCACAATAGATCTTCAGCATAGAACATCTATCCACTCCCCAAGAAGTGGAAGAGAACATGTGAAGGATATTCAGTGCCCTTGTACACTTTCCATGAAGCTGCTTAAGCTAAGACAGTTATATATTTCTAACAGAGTGGTTGGCCTTTAGAATGGGTTGCCTTCAGATGTTGTAGAGGGAGTAAATTTATGAGAGTTTAAGAAAAAGCTTGATAAGTATATGAATGAAAAGAGCTGGATTTAAAATTGTTTTATTTTATTTTTTAATCATTTTAATTTAGTTTTGAGGATGGAACAGCCAAGATAGACCAACTGGTCCTATGTTGTCCCAAAATATCATATTATGTTACAAATGTAAGTTTACAGTCTCGGACACCATGGAAAGAATAGCACCACCCAGGCAAAGCTCAATATCAGGGGTGCAATCCCCAATGATGGCAAAAATACATATAAACAGTTTTAGATAATAAGAAGGTGAAACTGTTCACCCCAACAAGTGATTGAGGGTAGTCTGAAGCTGTTGCTCAATAAACCTCACATTTGACAACAGACAGGAAATCTGCAAATGATAATGATAGCATTGATCTTAATACTGAAAAGCACGACACTAAAGACACAGCCCTGTGGGACTCCATGTCCCTATCTTTCACACAGGAACTATGTTGAACCCTTACAGACTTGGAACAACCTGTCATTTAAAAAGTTATGAATAAAAATGGTCAAATGGCCACATATCCCACAGGAATGAAGATCACTTAATATTCTGAACCACCAAGTAGTATCATAAACCTTCTAAACAAGATGTTCCCCCTTGAAAAAGGTTTCATGTCTAATCAGGTGGTGTCCACAGTGGATTGCTGCCTGTAAGAAGTTGTTTGATTCAAGGAACCAAACAGGATGATTATTAACCATCTTCTCCAAAACCATAGACAGACAGCTAATCAAGAAAAAATGATAATTATAAGGAAACTTGGGCTTAGGTAAAGGGATAACTATAGATTTATACCATTCATATGGAAAATCCTCCTGCCAAATCTGGTTAAAAACAACAGTAGAATAGCAAGAGATAGATGGCACAGCATCTCAATGAATATCACCAGGTCTAACTGGTGTACAGCAATATTAAATTCCATCAACTATTAGACTGAAAAGAAAGTAACAATCATTAAGCCCATGATTTGAGGGCCAAGAAGAAAGGAAAGATATAGAAGTTATGGAATGGTGAGAAAAGCATAACAAGGGTGTCAGAAATATCCTTCAAATCAGTAACTTTCTGGCCATTGGATAGTGAAATCAGAAGGGGATGGAAAGCATACTTCCTATTGAACTTTCAAATCTTGTCTCAAATGACATGGAACTGGTGGTTGAAGAAATTCTGGAAGTGAACTTAAACCAAGATTCCTTCTGGTTTGGTCATTAACCTACTGAGCATGGGCACAAGCTTGCTGAAAAGCTATGTAGTTGTCAAGATTGGGATTTCTGTTGTAGATATCCCAGGCCCATTTCTGAGCCTTCCATGCCATATCCAATAGCAGTCACTGGTTCATCAGGAATGAGGACAGGATGGGAAACATGTCAAGATTTTAGGGATTGTATGGACAGCTGCCTCCTTACAATAATTAATAGTGGGAAGATTAACGACAAAAAGAATCAAGTTTTGAGAAAGTGATAAAGGAGAGTCAACCAACCTGCTCCAGTTTCTACCATGACACACAAGTTGGGTGACATTGACTGCAGCCAATCTCACTTAGTATCAAGGGAAAATTATCACTGCCTTGTGGGTCATTGTCCACCCTCCAGAAAGAAGAAAGTAAGAAAAACAAATGGACAGGTTAATAGCAGTAAAAGACTGACTAAATGTGTATTAAAATAAGCATATGAACTGGTATTGAAGAGAGAAAGGTTGTGATTCAAGAGAATACACTCCAGAACAAGTCCTTATATCACCATAGAGGACATTGTATCCATTAAAGTCTCCCAAGGTGAAGGAAGATGGCAACTGTTCAATAAGATCATCAAAGTCTGTTTGATAATGATCTTCTCCTGGTGACAGGTAAAGAGAACAAATAGTGGTAGTACAACCAAAGGAGACACAGATGGTAACAACCTCCATTGACATACGGAGTGGCACAGGAATCCTCTAAAGACAAGGTGGTAGAGCTCCCGACTTGATATGCTTACCACCATGGAATCCTCTAAAAACAAGAAGGTAGAGCTCCAGACTTGATATGCTTATCACCAAGGAATCCTCTAAAGACAAGGTGGTAGAGCTCCAGGCTTTATATGCTTACCACCAAGGAATCCTCTAAAGGCAA